TCTCCTCGAAAATCGAGTTTTCTACCTGACAGCGAAAGAAAACGAAAAAAACTCATTGTGAAATACCTAAAATGCTCCTAGATCAGAAGAGGTCAAGAGGTCCAAAAAGAACTACTACAGTAACTGTTCACATCTGAGAGCAGAAACAGGCTATCAAACGAATTTTTCTGAAAAAACACTAGAAAGAAACCCCTCACGAAATCAAATTTTCTACCTAGCTACGTGGTAGAAAATAAAAAACACACACTGTGAGATGGATAAAATGCCCATAGATCAGTAAGGGCTTAAAAACTCAAAAAATACAACTTTGCACCAAGTATGCATTTAACCCTAAATGCATTTCTAAGTTGAAAACGAATGTGCACACAAGTGTAATAATGATTCTAAGCGCACGGAAATGGTCTACGGCTCCCGAGAAGCCCCGACTCAAAATATGACCTCCCGATGGCCAAAAATGATAAAAATGAACTTGGAATCGAAATTTTGAAAACTAAAAATATGAAATAGAGTCAAATTACCATTTGGCCCTTGGTCACACTTCATACTGATTAATGAGACCCTATGGGAGAATAAAAATGGAATTTCCACACCCGATGCAAACATGGTGAAGCATTGACTTGTCATTTTTCAATATTTTTATAACATTTCATGAAATCAAGAATTACATAAGATGCAATATAAATGTCATTGGCCTCCAGTCTCATCTCACACAAGTAAAATACATCGTAAAAGGTGTACTTATGTACACATTACATATATGGAATCAAAGATACAAGTTTGACATATAAGGCTACAAAATGACATTTCAGGCTAACATTTGCATGAAATGGAAAATAAAAGCTACAAGTCATCCAAAGTATGATGAGCATCATGAACCAAGTCTTCATACCTAAAACAAATCACTAGTAACTTTGGGGTGAGTAATATAAAGCTACTCATAGGAAATAAGCATGCATTGACCTAGCATTTTATAAAATTATCACCTTAAGGTGAAACAAGTCAAAGGGGCTCATGCCACCTAACGTCTATATCAAGATGAGGCTCGGGGAGCATCCTAAGCTACCATAGATCATTTCTAGCATAAATCATATCATTCATGTAATTTAACAACATGGAAGCATGTTATACAAAGCAATAAGATATAGATTCTCAAAGTCCTTAATTTGAAATCTAAAACACGAAAACAACTAAAGTGGATTATGCCACCTAACGTCTATGTTCTAAATGAATCTATAGGATCATTCCTAAGTTACATTTGAACATCAAAACACAAATCACAATATCGATGCAATTTAACCAACATTGGAACTTCCAATACAACGCATAAAACATGATTTCTCTAAGTTAACATCTTGAAACTTAAAATGGGAAATCAATTAAAGAACAAGAAGTGACGATATCATCTAGTTATCAACTTAAAATGAAATGCGAAATCAAATAAAGTGGATACTTGGACATCACGCTAGATCAGACCGACACCATAGTTACTTTAGGGTTACTAGCCTATGAGTAACCTCCCTATGTGTGCACTAGACTATAGAGGGAGAATCCCCGGTACTAGAACCATGTCCTAGCTGTAGTCAAACAATGACATCCCCAAGTTTCCAAAATCAACAAGTTATGCGACAACGTATATATCAACATGTATATACAAGATAATCAATTATATACCATGCACAATCGAACTTGGAAACACATACAATACATATACTAATTCCACAACTACTATGGCATGACAAATGTCGAATCTTCAGTGTGCGATTCATTACATGCTATGGCAATATATTTCAACATTGAAAACATAAACTCATGAATCTAATATAAATCCAAAATCATGATTTAAACATATAACCAATATCAAACACATGATTAAATCATTAATGCTATAGAAATGGAAATTAATTAAATAAACTAATTAATTTCTTTAAGTTTCAAATCTCAATCAAATAACCCCTAATTAACACATGTTAAACAACATTGCATGGTCATTACATACATCCATTCAAAATCTTAATTAGGTCAATGGAACAACAAAGTAGAATTTAATTAAATCATGATAATTAAATCTTTAACATCTAAAGCAACTTCAAATGGTCCCAAATTAATATATATGCTAGTAAACAAGTCCTAATCATTTCAAATATCAAGTTTGAAACTCAATTAAGTCAATGGAACCCTTGAATCGATTTTAATTAATTCTTTTAATTAAAATCTCTAGATTTTCATACTCATCCAAATGCTCTAAAATTAAAGTATGTTAAAGAGCATGTCAAGACTTAATTTAAAAGCATATCATAATTTAATTTCTTACAAGGTACGGCCATGGGAATTAATCTTTCACAAAAGATAAATATTAAATAAAAGTTACAATTCTTATTCAAATGACCCAAATTTAATATATGTCAACAACCATACCAGGGCCAAATTTACTAGCATGCTATACTTTAATTCTAAGTATATACACATCCTTGAGAATTAAATCCTATACAAAGAAAATAATTAAATTAAATTCTAGGATTAATACAAAACATGCATACAAGTGGTATAAGCTTATAAAATCATCAATACAACATAAATAAAAGCCTAAGACATCCCTTACCTCAATTTGAGATGAAAATCTCAAAAGCCACCAAAATCAAACCGCTCCGAATCAGACAAAACTTCGGGGTTTTGTCGGGGATAACACGGTGAACATTAAACTCCAAAGAGAACCTACCAAAATCCTAACTTGACCTCAAACCTGAACACAAAAAATGGCCAAAAACAGGTTTTAATAAGGGGGAAAGATGTGCGTAGTCAAGACAAATAGAAAACATAAAGGGATTACGACTTTTTAACAAAGGGAAGAAGCTCAAAAGAAGAGAGAGAAGGTGGCAGCCCCTTGGCTGCCATGGAATCCAACCAAGAGAGGGAGGAAGAAGGTAAAAAAGTAATTTTTCGCTTTAAGGCATTCTATTTATAGTAAAACCCTAAAAGTGCCCTAAAAGGGCCCGCCGAATTCGGAAAAGTGGAATTCACGCAGACGCGCTCAAACGGCAAAACTCCGTGAACGAAAAAGAACCGAAATGAGAAAAGATGGACAACGGAATAAATGACGTCATAAACTGAGTCCCAAGCAGAGAGATATGGCCCGAACAAGTTCGGCGGCAACTAGGGTTAAAAACCTAAAATTGGGGGAAAATGACTAAAAGACAATTCTAAGAGTACACGACTCGACGAAAAGTGAAAATAAATCCCGTACGAGGATCCAGGCTCAAAACAAGACATTTTTGCAATAAGTTTCCTTAATTGCACAATGGCCCCTCCAAAAAGTGAAACTACACTAATGACCCAAAATGAAAATATCTTCCAAAAATATTTTCTTAAAAACACCTAAAATAAAATATCTTCAAAATATATTTATGAAAAACACCCCAAGAAAAGAAAAAGATTTTGAAAAACTATGTATCCATGCCCCTATGGACACCGGGAGCAACTAGAGTACTTTACTGCAAAAGTAAAGATACGTATTTCATGGAAACCACTTAGAATGAAGATACGTGAAGTCAAAAACCAACTCCGAACACAAAAGTGAGGTTATGCCAACAAAGTGAGAAACGAGGAAAAGATAAAATAGGAAAAAGGACGAAAAGTGAATAATGTCAAAAAAATGAAAATGTGAAAATGACGCGGTCCTCAAAGGAAGTTGTCAATCCAAAGAATTTCAAACATATATGCCATGCTTCCTTACTTCGACAGGGTACAAATATCTAAATTTTATATTTTTAGATACTTTTTCGGACCTATTGCCAATACTAAGGTAGGTTATAGAAAAGAAAAAAGAATGATCAAATAAATAAAAAAATTCTTGATTGGATCAGGAATCCAATTTTGGATTCAGTATGAATAAAAGATCTTCCTATGTTATACTATTCAATTGTCGACGATGAATTGTTTTGATAGCTCAGATATTGTTATTCATGATATTGACCCAATTCAATATGATCGAGAGGTAATTCATCCATTGAATTTACAGGCAAAAGATCTTTTATCTTTATGGGATTAAATCCCGAGTTATTGACCTTCCGGCACTGTGCAGGCGTTAGGCCCCATACATGGTCTTACGACTTTACGGAGACCTGTGTTTTTGGTAAACAGTCGCCCGGGCCTGGTCATTGCGACCCCCTTTGTGAGGGGGCACCCCTTCTCCCGAAGTTACGAGGCTATTTTGCCTAGTTCCTTAGAGAGAGTTATCTCGTGCCCCTAGGTATTCTCTACCTACCCACTTGTATCGGTTTCGGGTATAGGTAGCTCGGCTTCTTCCTCTTTTCACAGTCATATGTTACATACTGAATCTAATATATTTGATAGGTATAATAACAGTATTATTAGGCACTACTTTAGCTCTTGCTCAAAAAGACACAAAAGACCCACACCCAAGTTCCATAGCCGCTATCCCGATCATGATTCCCTACCCACCCAGAGGGAAAGGTCCTTCCCTTTTGGTCCGGTTATGGGCGACTTCGGTCGACCGAAATGCACTTGTTTGTTCACTTTGTTCCTTTTTCAATTTTATCTAATCATGAGTTTTTAGGATGTTGTTTAGAGCCTTTTTGAAGCATATCTATGATGCAAGAATGATGTTTTGATACTAGACATGGTTGGATTGATGTAGGTGACCTTGGGTTCGGGTAAGGACCCGGTTAACGGTTCGGACGTATGGGCTTGGGTCGTTACAAAGTTGGTATCAGAGCGATGGTCCGAAATCTGTTAGGATGACGGGTAGAGGCCTGCATAGGGTTACATGGGAAGTCATTTGCATTATTATTTGATTACTTGCTAAAGTGTTTTGCTACGTGAAAAAGCATGCTTAACTGTTTATTTGCTTACGTGTTCATGCCAAGGTGTTTATTGCATAGTTTTGCTTGCTAAGTGTTAATGTGGTATCATTTTATGTTGAGTCGTTCTCGGATGGAACATAGTGTTATCATTGTTGAACCGTTTTCTTGTTTTTTAGCACGATGCCACCGCGAAAGGAACCAAGTAGAGTTGGCCCTAGGCCGATAAGGGGTGATGTTAGTGAAAGCTCTAGCTCAAATCCCATAGAGCAAGTTAATGAGGATACACTTCTTAGGGACTTGATTCCCCCGAGAGGTGTCTCCACTAGAAGGGATGATATTAGGATACACATTGAAGAGGGTGAAGGTTCGGCGGAACTAACACTGAATCGCTTGTTGTAAAATGTATTGAGGGCTACGATTGCTTCTCTTCCGCAACCAGTACCACAACCGGTAGTTCAGGTACAAGAGACGGCAGTGCAAAAATGTCTTAAGTTGATTACTGGGTTTTCAAAGTTGATGCCAATGATGTTTGAGGGTGGTGCGGATCCAATGGTAGCGGACGACTATATGGACCAAGTGGAAAACCACTTGACTTCTATGGATGTGACAGATGATCATCTGAAAATCATCTTGGCTACTTACAAGTTTTCTAAAGATGCCAAGCTTTGGTGGAAGTTGGTCATTAATCAACACAAGGTTGAGGATATGATTTGGGAGATGTTTAAAGAGCTATTCTATGAGAAGTATTTTTCGGTTACCAAGAGGTGGGAACTAAGGAAGCAGTTTGATGATCTCATTCAAGGTAACATGTCGGTGATTGAGTACGAAAACAAGTTTACTTCTCTTTCTCGCTTTGCCTCAGAGATAGTGAAAAGTGAAGTTGACAAGACAAGGAAGTTAATCTCTGGTTTTCATTACCAAATGAGACCATTGATAACATCTAAGTATTTTAAAGTTTATTTGGAGGCAGTGGAAAGAGCATTGATGTTAGAGGCAGAAGCCAATGATAGAAATGTAGGAAAGGAACAGTGGAAACAAAAGAGAAATACAGGATCATCTTCAGAGGGACCATCATGGAAGAAGAATAAGGGTGGTCCATCTCAGTCTCAGGGACAATAATCGGCACAGTCTGCTCCTACAACCCCTATGCCAATAGGGTCTGCTAGGAGTGGTGTTATCTACTATCGCTGCAATCAACCAGGTCATTACAAGGCAGAGTGTCCACAAGCATCGGTTAGTTCTGGGGTTTGTTTTGGTTGTGGTCAATAGGGCCATAGGGTTAAGGATTGTCCAAATCGGGGAGTAGGCACAACAGAGACCCTCACAGTCAACTACAGCTAAGTCAGGTTTCAGACCACCCCCGCCGCCACAGCCTGCCATGTCTTCTCAGGGTTCATGACTAGCTAGGAGAGATACTCCTACTATGTCAGCACAACAGTCAGGTGTTCAGATCGGTAGTTCTCAAGCACCACAAGGACGTGTTGGTGTGTCGCTCGAACTGAGTTGCACAAAAGTGTGATAATATGTGGCCAAGTTTGAATTTATAGAATGCCACTACCACAACTAATTTTTAAAGTAGCTAGAGTAAGTAAGGATCATCCCAAGGAAAAGGAAGCGTGTTTTGGAATCAATTGTTGGATTAGTAGGCCGAATGATCAAAAGATGGTTTGATTTGATTAAACTAATGATTCAATTAAAACAATACAAGAGAGCAACAATATAGAAATTAGGGGAAAGATAAATGAGAGAGAGTTCATGGGGCTTAGAGTTCACCACTAAGCTTTACTTCACCAAACACTAGCAATTGTAAATTAATGGGGAAATTTAAGTTGTAAAATGTATGTGTGTGTCACTAATTGAAAACTAAGCAAGGATGGCAAATAAGTATAGATTGTTTACTCTATCTAGTGAATACCATAATATATCAAATAAGACCATAAACTATTCAATTAAACCACAATTAGTGCACACACAAAGTCTAGAGAAATGTACTATTTGCACTCATAAGTATGGAACATCAAACAATAAGAATGGATTGTCCATCTATCTAAGAAACTAAAGCAATTACACTACATCTAGGCCACTGACATAAAAATCAAGCTAATTAAACTAAGGGTGTGTCACAATCCATCAATAAACAAGTATGAACCATCAAATAAACCACAAAAATATTCAATTAAGCACTATGTATTGATCATCACTAGATTAACAACATCAATACACATAGACATGCATTAATTTCATTAAATTTAGAGTAAAACACATGACCATTCATTCTAGCATACCAATGAGCGCTGAATATTGCATATTCAAGCCCCTAAATATACGTATGTTAAGGCCTTAAGTAATACTTCTATCCATATTTAGACTGATTTATGTTTAATGTGTGTTTGTAGGTACTTTCCCAGAGAAATGGTTAAAACAAGGATTTTAATGATATCGAAGCTTACAGGGTCGTTGCCGGTTATCCAAAACAAGCCGAGAGCTTAAATGGTAAAGTTTTGAAGAATTCAGAATCCAAAGCTTGAGCCCAAGTCTTGAGGCTCGAGCCTTATAAGTCAAAGAAGAAAAAAATCAACAAGGTATTAAAGCTCGAGCCTTGTACCTTTAAGCTTGAGCCTGAATAAAGGGTGCTCGAGCCTGACCATAGGGTGCTCGAGCCTGGACCCTTAAGCTCGAGCACAAGGCATCAGAATTTAAAGAGTTGATTTTCAAGCTCCCAGACCTCATGCCTATCCCCAAGGATGAAGCACCATCCAATAAAGCTCAAGCCTTAAGAACCAAATGGTCAAGCCTGGTACCTAGTGCTGAAGCCCATGAAACTTGGTTGAGTAAGTTAAAAGATTTCAATCCCAAAAATATTCTAAGTGTTGAAGAAAAAGACGTTGCGGAAAGTAATTGAAGAAATTTGGCTAAGTGTCAAAGTAAAGATCGAGCACCCATTGTTGAAGCTCGAATATCAATTCGGAGAGGCTTGAACCTTGTTCCTTAAGCTCGAGCCTGAACCTTAAAGCTCGATCCATTGTTCCTAAAGCTCGAGCCTTCCATAACATCTTAGATTTAAGTTACAGGAATGTTCTCTTTTCAAGCTGTATCTCATTCCAGATGGGCCAGAAGACCTAAAAGCTCACTAGATCCTTATTTTCTTCTATAAAAGAAGGCTTAAGCCTTGATAGAAGAGGGCCAAAATTCTAAGTCCTTTTTCTCTTGTGATTCAGAAGGCTGATACTGTAGTGGCTTTTAGGGTTTCCCCAACCTTAGGAGGTGAAGATCCTGAGAGGAGAAGTGCTTTCCATGACGATGGAGATAACTCTAACACAGATGATATCCGACATCATCATGAGTAGCTAATTCCTCTCTTAAGGCACCGATGTAACCCAATCTAGTATTATGGTTTGATTGTTCTTAACTCTGGGATTATTTTAATATATTATATTTTCCTGCTTATATAACTATGAGCAATAGCGACAACTCAATTGGTTTTCATGCTTTAATAGATCATAAACTGTTATTACCTTGTCTTAGATACAATTATTTGTTTTATATTCTCAACCTATCTTATTGGACGGTATCTAGTGGAGCCCTGCTGACCATAAGAATAGAGGTCATATAATGGTGTTCCAATGTTTTTTATAAAAGAATGTTTTCATAATCTATGCTTAGGATAGATGGATTATTTGCAAAGTAGTTAAAATAGTTAGAGTAGGTAGGTAGATTGTCCATGCTAACAGCAGATAGGTTATAATTAACTGAATTTTGTAAAACATTTTTCTTTAAAACCCGAATTGAATGAATGTTATTAAGTCCAATTCATTTAAAAATATAATTGGTTAAATTCCCAGAGTTGATACAATTAACCATAGTATGATGATTGTGGTAAAGTCAAAGCCCTAAGATTTCTTTCTCTAATTGCTTACTAATAATATTTTGTTTTAAGTTTAGTTTGTTTTTAATCGTGACAGCCAAATAAACTTTTCAACTAGTTACCTGTAAACCATTAGAACTAAATTGAAGACTGAAGATAAATCTCATCTCCCTATGGGTTTGACACCTCTCTTTATAGCACTATCCTACACGGAGTCGTACTATTGCGACTGGTAAAATTAGACACATCAATTTTTGGCGCCGTTGCCGGGGAGATTTGTTTTAGTTTAGTTTTTAATTAGTTTATTTTGGTTTACCAGTCTTCGGACTTTTTGATATCTCACCTTACTTCTTTTTCTTTTCAGGTACAAGAAAGTAGAAGTGAGGACAAAGACACTTAAGTGATAAAAAATTTTGGTTTATTAAATCTTTTGTGAGTTTTTCCTGTTTTCTTGTTACTTGGAAAATTTATTTTTGTCATTTCTAGGATTAGTGGAATTAATGCATGTTAACTCGCCATAATAGGTCAAAAGCCTTAGTGTATGATCTTGAAATAGAGAGAACTCTTAGTCAGTTAAGGAAACTTAACAGACATTTAAATTCAATAGGAAGTTCCTCTGATAACATGGCTGATAATGGTGACGCACTGGGTAATGGTAATGGTAATGGCAATGGTAATGGAGGATGGGTTCCACCCGTGCTTCCACAACCACAGCTGAGGGACCATTTTATTCCTACCACATACAATTCTCTTTCGTGCTTTGTATTTCCGAACGCTGATGCAACCTATTTTGAGATCAAGCCTGCTATAATCCAAATGCTTCCTACCTTCCATGGGCATGCAACAGAGGATCCTTATACGCACTTGGATGTATTTTTCCAATTGTGTTCAACTACCAAGTTTACCACTCTTACCAATGATTCATTCAGGATGCGACTTTTCCAATTCTCTCTTAGAGACAAAGTAAGAACTTGGTTGCATTCCCTTCCTCAAAATTCCGATATCTACATGGGAGATGTTGTAACAAGAGTTCTTGAAAAAGTATTACACAGTAGGTAAAACTTGTTAAATGAGAAGAGAAATCATGGCATTTTCCCAAATCCTGGGAGAATAGTTCTATGATGGTTTGGAGAGATATAATGATCTTCTAAGAAAGTGTCCACACCATGATATTGCATAATGGCACTTAATACAGATTTTCTATGATAGTCTCTCCGATTCTTATAGAAACATGGTTGATGCTTCTAGTACTGGAGGTTTTCTGCATAAGAGTCCAGCTGAAGCTTGGAAACTATTTGAGGCCCTAAGTGAAAATTCAACACAACATGCGTCTTCCTCTAGGTTTAAATCTTCACCTAGAATGCATAAAGTTAAAAAATTATTTGAGGTAGACAAATATAGTAAGTCAATTACTCAAATAGAAGCCTTGAACCATAGGTTTGATCAAATTCTATCATCTGGCTTTAATCCTATTGCTAGTCCAGAAACTACCTTTCTAAAGGAAGTTTGTTCAATCTATGCTAATCCTTCCCATTTTACTAACACTTACCCTATGATGGGGTAATCATCTGAGATCCCACAGGAGTAAGTGAACGCTGGATTCTCTAGACCAGCATACAATCTATATGTTTCTACATATAATCCTGGCTGGAGAGATCATCCTAATCTATCATGGCGTAACCAAAGCCAAGGAACCACTGTTCCTCAATCTCAGGGACAGTATCAAAATTCATCCAATCCTATGCCATAAAATAATTCTTTCAACCAATCTAGTATTTACCATCCACCTCAATTTAGGAAGCAACCCACTTAAGCTCCTAATCTTCCACCTCCTCCTAGAAATTCTGCTTTTGAGGATTAAGTACTCAATGCTCTTGTTGATCTTAAAGCCAATACCCAACTTCTTAACTCTTATTCTCAAGCCATAGCAAAGCAAGAGGCACAAGTTGGGTAAATAGTGAGTACTCTATCTCGAAGAAAGGATGGAAGAACCCGAAAGGGCAGACTTACATGATTGATGAAACCAATTCCTTAGGTATTCATCATGAGCAAGTTTAGGTTATCACTATATTGAGGAGTGGTAAAGTAGTTGAAAATCAAGTTAAAAAAGGACAGGAAGAAAAAGAGAGGCTTAGGATTCCCATTGGTCCTTTCATTCATAATCCACATCCTAAGGATGTTTCCTCAAGTTCTATTCCACAATCCACCACATAAGTTGAAGGTAGAGTCACTTCTTCATCTACTCTAAATCCTG